TAGAGATCTGGGCTTAAAGGATTAGGATTGCTGCATCCAGAGTTGCCACCTCTTGGGAATATGTGCGGCTCCACAGTCACAGACGTGATTCCAAAGAGAAGGGAAGAGTGGGAGCGTGTGCAGAGGGCCAGTGTGGACGTGTCCTCAGTCACCAGGTGTCCCCAACACCTCAGCAACACTCTGATCCTTTGGCCTCCTTTCCTGGAAAGCTTGGGCTCTGGGAAGCTGCTTGAGTCCAAATCCCAGCCCCGACTAAGGATCAGCCTCAGATTCCTGGGCAGATTGCCAAATTTCTCTTTGCCTCGGTTTCTCATCCTTCAAACAGGCACAGGGACACACCGTCTTCATGGCACCTTGGGATGGATTTAGTGAAATGATGTGTGTAATAGCTTAGGATAATATCTGGCTCCTGTGTGCACGCCTAATGACCACGAGCCACAGGGCCCTTCATCTGCGCATATCATGACCAAATGTTAAACCAAGCTCCTGGGGACTCCTGCACACACAGAGGGCTTCACCCTGGCCTGACGAGGCCGGTCAATAGCTGGGTCTGCTGAAGGAACACCTCTTCCACTCTCATTCCTTGTGCTCTGAGCTCCCATCCGCAGCACACACTGTGGGCCGAATTAGGGCGTTGATAATCCTATTGTACAGCCAGGCTGCACCACGGGCACTGCTAGCTCAGATGCCACTGGCAGAATGGGAGGTGTGGGAATATCTTTAGAATTCTGATCAGCTCAAGCACGGGCTGCAGAAGCTGAGTTACCAGAAATGTCCAGACCACTCTCTCGTTCTGGTGCCTCTAAAGAAACGTGCTTGGGGTTCAGTCGTGAATTCAGACCCTGTGCCTTGGAAGTTTGCCAATTTGAGCCTGGTGGAAATCTGCCTCTCCACTGTTTGGGGGCTGTAGGGTGATACGAATCTCCTAGCAGAATGGAATCTGTGTGCAGAGGAGGCTGATTGGCTGCCAGATAGAAGCAGAAACTTTCCAGAGCACTTTCTGCTAAAGCTTCCACCTGCTCAGAGCGGGCACAGCAGGATTCTCCTTGGCCACTGGGGGCCTTGTGCTGCTAGTTTTGCCCCCAAACAGTGAAACTATGTTAAAAACACACTCGATCATCAACAGTGCTCCCAAGTCGGACCAGGCCACTTTTCTTCTTGAATTATTTCCAAGCAATGGGTTTGTTGTCACCTGCTTCCCAATTGCAGCCCCTCTTAGGTGTCAGGGTGTGACACGCCCACAGAGTGGTGGAGCCTGGAGGCAGGGAGCTGCATCGCCCTCTCAGTCCAGGTACGAAATCAGGCAGGTGCACCTTGCAGCGGGACCGATCGGAGCAGGGCTAATGCAGTGGCTTCATCCGCATGGGATCTCCAGGCTTCTGCCCCAGAAGATACAACTACATGGCAGCAGCGATGTTTGTGTCAAAATGGGAAGTTTGTGTGTTTCCTGACCGGTAAATGCCTGCTTAACATGAATCAGTGTGGCTTTTAGTTGTTTGCACAGGCTTTGTAGAGAAAATGCAAATGATTTCATGTCACCAAACCCCACAAATCATGCCACCATATGTGTGCAGTGAGCAGGAGGCAGAGGAATTGCCCGGCTGTGAGAATGCCCCACACCACACGGCCTCCCTTCTCCTCCTTCCCTGTCGGTGTGTCCCCTAAGCCATCCTCGGTTAAGATTAATGATCCCTGTCCCCTCCTCTAGCAGCCGGATGCTGCCAGGCAGTAGTGGGGCAGTAAAGGGCACAGGAAGCAGTCATGGGTGAGGGGGCCAGGCTCAGGGTGCCCCCCTTAGAGCCAGGAGCTTGTCCTTCAGTCTCTGACCTTCCCGCCCCCTCCCCACAGGATTTTGCCCTTCCTTCTCTTCTTCCCTCTCCCTCCCACCTCCCTGCCCTCCCGAGTATTTCCAGGTCTAAGGAGCAGAACAAATGCAGGAGTGGGCAGGGGCTGGGCTTCCCTAGGCTGGATCCTAGTGAAGCCCAGCCCCAGGCTGCCTTGATGTGACTCTCACAAAGGTGCCGTGTAGGTGGACACATGCCTATACTTGGCACGGCTGGGCAAGTGGCCTGGCTGGACCCCGT